TAAGAATGCTCTTGTAGACCAGAGTCGTCAGAGGGGCCTCTAGGAAAAGGCAAGATTTGAAATAGGTCTTGAAAGGAAAAGAGAGAAGTTTTCAAACTTGAGCAAGAATATCAAAGAGGAGATGACTATGATGAAGAATAGTAAGGCTGGCTAGCCTGGAATAAAGGCTCCATTGACAGAAAGAGCAGTATGAGATTAGGCTGGATACATAATAAGGAACCAGATAGGGCTGCGTCATAGAGATTTAGTGTAACAAGGAATCTTCTTATAATCTTGGCAAGACAGAGAATGAGGAAAGTGTTCTATGAAGAAGAGTAATGTGGAGAGACTAAATTAAAAGAAAAATAGTGGGGATAATAGTGAAGAGATGATTGGAGTAATCTAGCAGGGGTCTAGTTAACATAGAGACCAGAAAAAGGCAAGTGTATATCCCAGAGATACCATAGATAATTCGAATGCCCACTTCACATTAGGCTATATTCCACAGTTCAGTTCTAGAGCAATCTGTCCATTTCTTGTGAACTGGGAACAACCTGCCAAGAGAGATCATTATTTCAGTATAGAAAACCAAGCCAAAGCCAGCCAGCAGTGTGCTGGTTGAGGCAGCTGAATCCCACATAGCCGACAGCATGGTTCAAGTCCCAGACCCATTGGTTTGAAAAACATGCTAAGCACTTGTGCATGTGAGCCCAAAATCTTAAAAGGAGGAAGAAATAGAGAAGAAACAATTGCAGTGTGACCATCTCCCATGGAGGATGCTTTCTCACTTTCCCTCTCTCTTTCTGGGAACTGCACACACCCTCTAGCAAACTTTTTTTTAAAAAAGAAAAGAAAACCAAACTAGATAAATTCACATTCTCCAGGGAAGAATTTTAGAGATCTCTTTTTCTCATGGACTACTTAAGAGAAAATTGTTTCTCTCTTCCTTTCTACACATGTAAATGCAGTCCACAGAACTCTAAGGTTGAGAAGAGTATGTTAATTTTCATTACATTTAATCTCATAGTCAAGATATGGTGCTGGATTGTGTTCAATCCCAGCCTAACAGGTAACAATAACTAATATTGAAATATAGTTAACCTCATTCAACATTCAGACAAGTTAGTATAGTTAGTTACACTAACTATACTATAAAGTTAGTAAAGTTAGTATCAGTACTATGTGAATGAGTCTCATTTCTATTTTACAATAAAGGGAACTCAAGGAGGTTACATTACATTTTAAGATCACTCACTTAGTAGGAGATAGAATAGGAATTTGAATTCAGGTCTTTTGACTTCAAAGCACATGTTCTTTCCCCACATCACTGAATTTTCAGTCCAACACTGCAAAGCAGAGGTTTGTTCTCTTTAAAGAATCAGAATTAAAGGATCAGAATTCTAGGTGTTTGTTCTCTTTAAAGGATCAGAATTTTAGGATATAGGCTGATGAGTCTTGACATTTCCTTAATGTAACAAGTTAAGTCTTTATTTAAGAGAGAGAACAACTTGTGATTTTCTTCCATTGGTGGGCTAGACAGATAATAAAAATGATGGCAAAGGTTATTAAAATTTATACAGAGACTAGCACAGATTGGAATAACTACAAAGTGAATTCTTTACGCTGCAATAGAAAGGTGGTGAAATAGCACAATATGAAAGAAATTCTCCGTTAGCTTCAGATGCCTAAATATGCCATCAAAAGACTGCTCAATTCTCAAATGCCAGTATTTTCTGACTCCTCTAGAACCTATTCTTAATGCAAAATATCAAAGTCAGCGGGATAGTAGGTGTCCCAAAATGTCTTAATTCAGAGAATTAGTGTTAACTGAGCCTGATTAGCTCCATTTATCTCTAATTAATTACCTTTATCTAATTAGACACTTTGTTTCCGGTAGACATGGAGTCAAGTAGACTAGATTATTAGTGTAGTCATTGTGCCTTTACAAAATCCTGAAATTAATGAAACGTGCAAAAGAATCTGCAGTTCTAATTGCACAGGTGTTGCCTTATGGCAAAGCTTTATCATCTGATTACACCAAGGGGTTATTAGTGACTTTTTATATAGAGGATGAGCCTATGAAATGTACCTTAGCAACAGCTCATTAGTTTAGGGTTGTTACTGTATTATTTATTACATTCAGCCTTCCCCATTATCTAGATTGATTCATGGACCTATATATTTTTTCCCTCCTCTGTGCAGAAAAAAAAATAAATAAATAAAATAAAATAAACCATCATTATGAAGAGTCCAGATGCAATATAGGAAAATGCAAGATGTGTTCATCAGCTACAATTTGACTCTTTAAGACAGAAAGCTCTAAAGTTAGATGAGATCAGAATCAAATTTATGGTTATTTTCTACAGGAAACAGCTGATTTAAAATTACTGAGGAATATAAAATGATTCATATATGTGATCAAAAAAAAAATGTGGCTGTCCTAATGCCTTCACATAACTAAACTGGCATACCAAGGTATATGGGAGAAAAAAGCAAAATGTTTTTACACTAAAATACATTTCTATTTACTTATTTTTCCTCCATATCTTTCTAAAATGGATTGATGAGACAAGATCTCTATACATGTTCATCCAAGAGATTTATAAAGTCCATCTCTTGTTTTACTTTTTGCTTTTTTTTTTTTTTTTAAAGGATAGATTTGTTACCAGGTGGGGAAAACTAACAAATTTATCTAGCTTTGCTGAAAAAGCAAGATTTCAATGCCGGCTTACAAAAATGAAAAGTGTTTTTTCACGGCAAGGTTAGGTGTCTGCAAAAGACTAAAATATCTCAATCTTTATCTTTTTAATTTTTTTCCCTCACAACTGTTTGAAGCACTGTTTTACACAATCACAGAGTAATTAAACAGCTAGAAGCAAATCCAGCTCCGATCCTACTCTAACATACAAACATGTTTATTGACAACACAGTAATTCCTTTAAATAATTTGTCAACATAAATATGTCAAATGGGTTTTAAAATCATCTCTGTTCCCCAACAAAAACAAAAAACTCCTCTACTGCTATGAGCTATATATTGCTGTTCACTTATTGCTGAGTCTAAACTAGTGAGATGATAACGGGTAACTGTTATATAGAGCATGACAACTAATTTGAGTGGTAATAATGAATATTTAATGATCCTCCTTTCAAGCATGAACATATAACTTTTCATGTATGCCTTACCAAAATTATAACCATTAATCTAAAAATTATAGTTGCAACTGAAATAATAGCCAGAAATTATAGATTATAGCCAGGTTGGAATACTGCATAAATATTCAATATGAATACAAACACAGAGGCACGTAGGATGCTCCAGCCTTCTGCTTCATTTAATCCAAGTACTATCTTTGAAATGTATGGAAGTTGCAATGATTAATTGAGATTTGATTCCAGATATAAAAAGGCTATTATTTATATCACTAGATAAGCACAATAGCCCAGGTCATTTTTATTCTCCACTTGTTCATAATTTTTAAATAAAAATAACATGTATATATATATAAACGTGCTCCTTGTAGGGGTAATATTTTTAGGATTCTCTATTTAAATAAATCAAGGAAA